CCCCGCAGCCCCTCCCCCCCCCCCGGCCCCCCCCCCCCCCGGGTCCGTGCTCCCCTCGGCTCTGACTTCAGCCAGCCCAGGGTTGCACAGAACCAGCCAGCGCCGAGGAGTGATGCCATTGGTTTTATTCTGGAATTTGTGCGGCTCGAACTCATAGAAATCCTTGAAACTGCGAGAGAGGAGGGCAGAGAAGGGGAATGAAAAAAGGAAACCAGTGGATGAGAGGGACAAGGAGGGAAAGAATCAAAGCAGCACCAAAACCAAACTACAAGGCAAAAGGGCAAAGGAGCAGGAAGAGAGAGAAAACAAATGCAAGAATCAATGGGAGAGAAAAGAAATGAACAAGAGAGGAAATTAATGAACTGGGGGAAATGAGGGGAAGAGAACAAAAGAAGAAAGACACAAATGGAAGAACCGGAAACTGAATTAAACAATGAAGGAATGAAAATGAACAGAAAGAGGAAAAATACAAAGGGACAAAAGTGGAGCAAAAGAAAGAAGGGGATGAAAGAAAGAAGGAAATGTATAGGAACACAGCTACAGGACAGAAAAAAATGGAAGAAGTGAATGAATGAAAAAAAATGAAAGTGGGTATGATGCAGTGAAACAGGAAGGAGCAAGAGAAAGGTAAGGGAATGAAGAGAATAAATTAAAGGGAAAAGAAGAGGGAAGAGTACAAGAATGGGAGGAAAAGAGGGAAGAATGATATTGGAAAAAATGAAAGATGGAAAAGAGAACAGAGGGGAAAAAAGAGGAAAGGAATGAAGAGGAGGAGAAGGAATGGGAGTGGCAGGGGCAAGGGGATTGTAGGGACAGTGAGGGGATGAAGCATGGCAAGAGGCAGGGCACATACACAGTCTTCTTGAGGATGTCGGAGTGGATGCGGGCAACCCCATTGATCACGTGGGCGCCTACGATACACAGGTGAGCCATATTGATCCTCTTGGCTCCCCCCTCCTCCACCAAGGACATGCGCCGCAGCCGTTCGTGGTCCCCAGGGAACATGGCATAGACTTTCTGCGGGGGAGAGAGAATGGCAGAATCCAGATGGAGCAGGCACACCCAGAAAGAGGCGCCACAACTGAGCCCCCCAGGAGGAAAATGAGAGGTTCCCCACTGTCCCAGCCCCAGGCACTCACCCTGCTCCCCCAGTGGGACCCAATCCCAAATGCCCTTGGCTCCCTCCCAGCTCACACACCCCAAATTTAACTCCCTTCTCAACCTCACCCCAGCAAGAGCACATGTGAATCATCTGCAGAGTTTGGATAGCAGCCACAGCCCTAAACCACTAGACCCTACTCCCATCCCAGGGCTGGGGACAGAAACCAGGAATCCCAGCACATTCCAATTCCTGTCACCTATGGAGGGAGGGGGACTTCTCCTCTGGATTAGCCCCAGCCCACCCTGGGGCAGAGCTTACATCAAGGAACCTCTGATTAATTTCATAGATTATCTCCAGGTGCCGGGGCAGGAGGGTTTCCAAGAGATGGACAGGCCAGCGCTCCAGGGCCTCAGGCAGCACTGTGTGGTTGGTGTACGCACAGGTCCGCACTGTGATGTCCCAGGCCTGGAAGAGACAACATGAGAGGTTGCCCAGCTCAGTCCAGAGATGCAACCACCTCTGGGGTGGGACACAAGGGCTCTTCTACAGCAAAACTACAACATCTGGTCCCTGTAGCACAGAGCTGTTGATGTCACATATAAATACCCCTGGCCCTTACCTTGTCCCAGTCCAGTTTCTCAGTATCAATCAACACCCTCATGAGCTCAGGGATGGCAAGGGAGGGATGAGTGTCGTTCAGCTGGATAGCAACCTACAGGAGAGGGGCAAAGCTCAGACCACCAGTGACAAAGGACGCATGCGTTTAGCCATGAGAGGCCATGGCTGGAATGGCCCCCAGAGCCAATACCTGCTCCATTCCATACAGCACCCCCTGCTGGGCAAGGCCAGGCCTGGAGTGGCTGGGAGCTCCTGGCACAGCCAGCACTCATGCCATGCTTCCCACAGCACCCCCTGCTGGGCCAAGGTGGGGCTGGAGTAGCTGTCCTACTCCCTATGTTGCCCCCTCTCCCCCCGCTGGGAGAAGTTGGGCAGACCCCAACAGCCAGTATTCCCACCCCACTCCCCACAGCGCCCTCTGCTGGAGAGGCCGGTACCTTGTCAGGGAAGGCATCAAAGGAGGTGCGGACGGGGTCCCTGCTGCCGAACTTGGAGGATTTGAAGCGGCGTATGATGTCCTGCAAAGTGGCTGCCACCACAAAGTACTCCTGCTTCAGGCGCAGTTCCTTGCCCTCGAAGAACTGCACAGAGCAGGGGCAAGTGAGAATGGGGCATTCACCAACCCAATCCCAACCTCAGAATAGGCCAATGGCTTCCGATACAGCAGGGGCTCTCTGTGACCCCTGCCCACGGCATAGGGTAAGTAGTGGCAGACCTGGGACTAGAACCCAGGAGTCCTGACTACCCAGCTCCCTTCGCTAGCCACTAGGCACCAATTCCCTCCCAGAGCAGGGGATGGAACCCAGGAATCGTGTCTCCCAGCCCCCACTGCGATAACTCCCCACCCCCAAGCATTTGACAGGGGGTGTTTCACTCTCCCACCTAGGGTCCCACATGGTTGGAGACCTTGAAGAGGGTAACATTTGGGACACATCTCTGGGGCAGGGATTCGGGGGCAGAGGGAAATGACAGTTTTACCCAATAGTCGACCCTCCTGGCTAATGAGATTTAGACCCGCTTGATGCGCTGAGCCCTATCCCTGGCACAGGAATCAGGGACTGAGTGTGGAAGCAGACTCCCCCTCATTTATAAGCCATGTTCCAGTTCTGTTTCCTTAAAGGACTGGCTCCCCTCCCCTCATCCCTGGAAACCCTGCAGTGAATGCAGGGAGCCCTGGAGTGGGTGGGGAGGGAGCTACTCACATTGTCATTAGGATACAGCACACGGGAAATGTTCTCGGCCAAATTCCTGTCCAGCACGGCTTGGATATATCCACCAACGTTAACTGCGGCAGAAAGAGAACATGGTCTTAGTTCACACAGGGGTTCCTCGCTCAGTGCTGAGATGCAGCCATCTCTGGAGCGATCCTTTACCCAGCAACTCTGGAGCCAGCTCTAGGGAGGGACATGGGGGAGGGAGAGGCTGTTTATACAGGGACTCTTCATAGTGGGGTGGTGTTGGGGCAATACCGACGGGGAAGGGAGATTGCCTCATGCTGAACCCCCACCCCAGTTTTCAGTAACTGTCTCCCCGCATTGCTCAGAGAGGGTCTGACTGCCTGGCTCCCTTGGATGCTGCCAAGACACAGACCCTTGCCTGGCCTGAGGGACTCCCACTTCACTCACAGTCTTTGAGGTTGAACTCGTTGGGGGCCCGGGCAGACCAGAGGCGCATGGTGTTGACAGTGTTGTTGCGGTAACCAGGAACAGGTGTATCATAGGGAAGAGCCAGGACCACCTGCCAAAGGACAGCAGGGTTAGCGCCAGCCGCAGCACCCGGTGGGCATGAAGAGCAGAGAGCCCACCCCAGCCTTCCCAGGACTGACAACCCATAATGCCCTCCCCTCCTACTTTGTACAGGTGGGAAACTAAAGAACAAACAGACAAACTGATTTCCCCCCTCCCCCAGCGAATCAGGGAAAGGGCCCAGGTGTCCTGGCTCCCTGCCTAGGTTCTATCAGGCTAGTGAATGAGCCTGCAATGGTCCTGCGCGTCTGGGCAATTGCACATGTATGGAGGCGCTTATGCAAAGGTTTGTGCTGCACCCACGTCCCTGTTGCAGAGGGAGCTCACACTTGCATGGAAATGCCCATTCCAGCTTTGCAATGCACACTCCAGCAAACCTACATATTGCTATGTGCAAAGGCCTGTGAATGCATCTCTACCTCCATGCACACAGCTCCTGCACCAATGACCATGCATGTGAACATACCCTCCCTCGTGCCCAAGGACACACGCTCATGCACACCCATAGATGCACACTCACCACTCATTGACACGCCTGCCTACCAGTCCCTCATGTAGATATACATGCATTCCTGGGCAGCATCACTGTTGTGCTAATGCACACTCATCACTCACTCGTGCAATGTTGCACACTGGCCACTCTGAGGCCTCCCAGACTCACCTGTGTGTCAACCCACTTGGTGCCATCTGACCCATGCTCCACGCGCCCGTAAAAGTGTACGGGGATCATGTACTCAGGCCGGGCCTTCTCCCAGGGGTTGCCATAGCGCAGCCAATCATCAGCCTCCTCCACCTGCCAAGGGAGGGTGGTAGCAGGAGGGGTTAGTGCCAACCTGCTCCTCCCCCACCTAGGATCCCTTCTCACTCACCCTTAAGCAGCTCAGCTATCCAAGACCTATCCCCTGCTGGGATCCCCCTGACCCTGCGGCACCTGCTGCCTCTGCACCCAGGACCCCTGAACAACCCCCTGCCCGGCCTCTCCTACCCCATACTGAGGGCAACTCAGCTGCTCCACCTCACATCCCTCCTGTGCCCTGCCTGCTTACCTGACCCCCCACCTTTACCCCTGGGGAATGACCCCTATCCCAGACCTGCACTTGAGGGGCATGACCCACCTGCCAGCCCCCAGAGATCTTCTGATTGAAGATGCCAAATTCGTAGCGGATGCCATAGCCATAGGCGGCCAGTCCCAGGGTGGCCATGGAGTCCAGGAAACAGGCTGAGGGGGAAGAAGAGTGGGGGTTGAGCATTACAGACAGACATACAGGAGATGGGGGGGTTACTGCAGTAACAGCCAAATCAGAGGGGCAGGCAAATGGACAGGGATGGCAGGCAGAAGAGATGTGGGGTGGGGGGCCAAGAGTGTAGCGGGGAGCAGTGTTTGGGGGCCAGGAGCATGTCGGGGGGGGAGTGCATACTGGGGGGCATTGTCAGGGGGACAGATGCATGCCACAGGGCCATGTCAGGGGCCTGGTACTAGTTGTAGGGGCAGTGTCAGGGTGCTGGGTGCATGTCAAGAGGCAGTGTCAGGTGGCAGTGTCTGGGGGGGGCAGGTGCATGGTGGAGGACCAAGTCAGGGGAGCAGAAGCGTGTTGGGGGCAGCGTTGAGAGGCCAGGGGCAGTGTCAAAGAGCTGGGTGCATTCCAGGGTGCCATGTTGGGGTCTAGGTGAATGTTGCCGGGCAGTATTGGGAGGCAGGGCCAAGGGTCTGGATGCATGTTGCGGGGCCAGGGACGTGCTGGGGCTCTCCTGGCCCTGGGCACACAGGGCAGTCAGGCTCAGGGTCTGCCAAATTGGCTCCCCTCACCTGCCAGGCGCCCCAAGCCCCCGTTCCCCAGCCCTGCATCCTCCTCGATCTCCTGCAGCTCCTCCATGTCCAGGCCCAGCTGTGGGGGCAGGAAAAAAAAAGAGTGTTAGGGGAGATTAGCCACCTCCCCCACTCACCCAGCCCTCTCCCCACTCCAATTGCCCCATCACAGGATCTCCCTCCCCCACTGGACCCTGGAGTACCTGGTAGGTGGCCTCATCACAGGCATTCTGCAGCCCCAGGTTCACCATGGTGTTCTGCAGTGTGCGGCCCATGTAGAACTCCAGCGAGAGGTAATAGATCCGCTGAGGAGAGGGGGAGATAAGTGAGGGAGCAGAGACAGGGTTGGGGAGGGTTGAGGAGCCTGTTAGCTCCATCTCCAGGAAACAGGCCCCATGCCCCATTCCCCGGTGCACTGAGCACACTAGTCTCCCACCCTGGGGCTGGACTGAAGTCCACACCCCCTAAAGGACATGTCCCAGTTGCCACTGTACTGGGGCAGGACACTTGAGGGGGGCAGAGGGAAGCAAGCAGCGGGCAGGTATATAGGGGTGGCTACTGGGGCCTACAGATGCCCAGCTAACCTTTAGGGAGAGCATAGGCGGACATCAGCCATGCTATGTCAGCCCATCTCAGGTATGCAGCCGCTGCGCCTATCCAGTGTCCCAGCCCTCCCTCTCCCTGCGCTGACACAAGCTCTTGCTCAGATTAAATGGCAAAAGTCAACAGCAAAATGTCAGACAGGGCTAAATTTAACCAGACTGTGCCCCCACCAGGATGCTGAGATAGGATCAGAACTGGGGGCCTTGAGAGCAGAGATTCCCCCCCACTACCTGTCACTTCTGGGGAGAGACCCCATGTGCCACTGCCTTCCCCAGGTCTGGGTCACAGCCAGTCTCATATCCCATTCCTGCCCCCCTCTGCCAGCTGGTGCCCCTGTCCTGGTGCTGGATTACAGCCAACATCTCCTAGAGAGGACAGGTCTCATATCCCCTTCTCTGCCCTGCCCCCCTCCCTCCACTGAGCCAGCCAGTCTCTCTGCCCTGGTGCTGGATCACAGGTAGCACCCCCTAGAGGGCAAAGGCCCAGTTTCCTATTGCCAGCTTCCTTCATCCTTTAAACCTGTCCCCCCAAACCTACTGCCCCCAGCCCAAAACCTCTCCTGCAACCCTAGCTCCCCCTTGGAGGACCCCCCATTACCCAGCATGCCATGAAGTGTCTCCACTAGCTCTTCATATCTGCTCATACTGGCACAAACATCTAGCCACTGCTACCTCCCTCCCCCACTTCCCAAAACAGAAAGGGGATTAATGGCCTGCAACCCCCTCATATGATCCCCCCACTGTGATTCCCTGGCTTAGCTCCTCAGCCCAAAAGCAGGTCTCTGAGAGGCGGTTTGTGTTGACTCCCTGGCTCACACATACCCAGGACTTGGGGGTAGCCAGGGATCGGTGAGGGGGCCTAGGAGGGGTGAATCACAGCCAAGACGCTCACACACAGGCCTGGGGAGGGGAGGGGAAGAACGAGGGGGGATGAGGAAGCAGAACGTTGAGGGAGAACAGCCAGAATAAATGGAGGAGGAAGAACATGGGGGAGCAGAGGGCCTGAGGGCGATGTGCGGGGAGAGGGGAAAGGCAGGGGCAGCAGAGGGAGTGCAGGGTGGAGGAAAGGCAGAAGCAGAAGTGGCTGGGGAGGGCAAGTGGGTCGGAGATCTCACCCGGGCCTCTGAAGGAACCACCCCATGAGTTACATCCCCCCATGCCAGCTCCACGGGGGTTGTGAGACACCAAGCTCAGATAGTGACAATGGTGCCCCCTCCCCCAGCCCTTCTGATCAACCAGAAAGAGCCAGCCCTGGGCACACTGTCCCTGTGGCAGGAAAGCTAGCCCAGTGCCTTGGGGACACTCCAGGTGAGAGAGGCAGAACCAATCCCTTTCCACCATGGAGGGAGCCTTCAGGCTCTGCTCAGTTCCCACTGCCCCCCACAACTAGCCAGGGGGACTGTCCTGTAAGCCATCAGCCATCTTTCTGGATGGGGATAGGGAAGGAGGGAACTAGGGGGTGGATGGGCCTATTGGGCTGATCCCAAGTCCTTCAGTGTCAACAGCCCAGGCCTTTGCTCCCCGAGCTGAAGAAGGGTCTGGAGCACCCACTGGCGGCAGTACAGCTCGTATTTATACCCTTCATGGCACACACGCTGAGCCCACCTAGCGCAGGGGATCCCAGCTCTGGAGTCTGGCTGCCAGGTGTCAGAAGACAAGGACTTGGCTTACAGATGGGAAGGGATTATTGATTTGAGAGTCATCCACTGCCCCCTTCCCAATCCTCCTAGAGCAAGGGACTCAACCAACACCAGACGCCCCCTGGCTTGGCAACTGCCATTAGCCCCTCTGCTGTCCCATCCCCCAGCTTTGTCCCCTGTCCTGCCTCATTGCCCTTTTCCTGGCAGTACTGCTAGCTGCCCAGGTGCCCTCTGTGCCAGCCCCTTCTGGCACCCCTCCTGCCTAATCCTTTGCCCCTCGCACACCCTGCACCTCGGAATCTCTCACCTGACACCGCTACTGTGACCCGAGCCTTCTCTCGGTCGCGGCTCCCTGGCAGGCATTTCAGCAGCGGTAGGGAGCTGATCGCTCCCTGCCTCTGTGCGCCCCCGGGCACTCCCACATCCCCAACGTACAGCTAGCCGGCACCCGCGCTCCAGGGCACCCCGTGCTCTCTCCAGCCGGGCCCCAGACGCCCCTCTCCACTGCGCCCACGGGCGCCCCCCAGGCACCCACCTTGGGGTCCTTCTCGTAGTAGTATTGCTGGGTGCGGATCCACCTGCCCACCAGATGGTCGCGCACCGTGTGCGCCAGGGCGAAGTAATAGTCCCGGGGGGTGGCCACGTTCCGATCCTTCACCAGCGTGAAGTGCAGGTGCCGGTTGAAGTTCTTCTTGAGGTCGGTGACATTCTCCACCCCGGCCAGGCCCCGCACGCTAATCTGCTTCCTTTTCTCGTAGTCCGACAGCGGCCGCGACATCCTGCAGCTTCCCGCGCGGCCCGAGCTCTGTGCGCACGGCGGGTCTTTCACACGGAGGCGGGAAGGCCCTGGCACTGCGGCACCGGGCGAGCGAGAGGAACACCAACAAGCTGGGCTCTCTGCGCCGCCCAGCCCGCTTGCTGCAGCAAATGCGCCCGAAGCCCCTCCCCTCATGTATTTTTAACCCAGCCAGTTGGTGCATTATTCATGAGCCCCTCCTCCAGGCCGGGAGGGAGAGGGGGAAATCCTCGCTCCGCCTTCTGGCTCATGAGGCTCCTCCCTTGTCTTATCAATTATTTATCTGATCCGGCCCTCTCCCCTCTGAAAATTTCCTTCGCTGGGGGCCCTCTGGGCTGCAGAGTTGTGGGGGTGAAATTAAAAAAGCGAGCAGGGCCCTAAGCAGACTAAGCAATTGCTTAAGGCCAAAAGCATCTCAAGGGGATCCCTATTAATCACTAGCCTTGTGAGGGGAAGGAGATATTGCTGCTTTTGGCCCCACTGGGCTCGCACCGGCACTGACAGAGGAGGTTAATCACGACAGTAGGAAGGAAGGGCTAGTAAAAAGCTCCTACTATAGTCATGACATAGACTAATATAATACTAAACAGTACTTCATAAGCTCTCCTGCCCTAGCCTCCTCTCTGTGTGAAATTGGTCTCTCTTTAGCCCCATACTCATGCTCTAGATAACCTTCCCTCCCAGGACATGCTTCTCCAGCTGCATATACTGTATCCATCTATGTATTCATCCCCATTCACAACATGCCTGCCTATCTCCATCCCTTATCCCCTTGTGCACTGCATTGCTCATCCAACCCTGCAGGTTTATCCACACAGCAAAATGTCAGGCCTTGGACCAGAGGCATGGCAGGATTTGGGCTCTGGCCCACCCCTGAGCAGGCCCAGAGGCCAGGTGCTGACTGGCTGCTGACCAAAGTCCAATGGACTTGTGTGTAGATGGAAGGGGGCCTTTGGTTCAAACCTCAGCCCAAGCACAGTGGCAACGCACACAGAGTGTCTGGGAGTACGTCTTTGCTCTTGGTGGCTAGGATATTAATTTTGATTGTTATGTAATGATTTTCAAATTAATTAGCAGCTGAGACAATGAAAATTAGTGGGTAAGAACAACCGAGCAATTGTGTTAGCAGGAGGCAATGGAATAGCAAGAAAGCAGGCAGTGAATGTTATGGTGAAATTAGAATAATAATAGAAGGGAATGAATAGAAAGAATCATAAAGCAAGAAGATGTAATTAGACTGGGTTGTAATTAGATTAAGGATGGAGTCAAATAAACGATGGGGGAGAATTCCACTTAGCCAAAGCACCCATGATCTCAAAACACTCGGTGTCCTAGACACTCAGAAAATATGAGGTAACTCAAGATTTATCATTGATGTGTATCTGTATGATTGTTAGGTACCTATTTGTTGTTTCTTGTTTTTTATAAATAGCTTGGTTTAGGATTGGGAGCTTGTCTTTGGGGTCAGGGGATTATGTTCCAATGGTTACAGAAGGAGCAGGGACCAAGAGCCAAAACTCCTGTTCTGTTCCCATCTCTGGAAGGCAAGTAGTACATAATGAATTAAGGCAAAGGGGGCAAAGAGGACTCCTGGGTTTTAGCCTCAGCTCTGGGAGAGAAGTAGGACCTAGTAGCTTGGAGTAGAGGATGCTGGGAAGCAGGATATCTGGTTTCCCTCCCTGGCCCTACCATGTTTACCCTTCATGACCCGTACTTCCCTTCTCTGTGCCCTTGTTTTCCTATTGGCAAAATGTTGAAACCAGAGGAAAGGCTCCCAGGCCTCATGTGCTGCTGAGTATGAATTGTTTCCATTTCACAGCATCATGCACACAAACTACTGATGCTGGAGGGCAGGAGGAGATTACAGATGTGCGCTTGCACATTTAGGGTATGTCTACAATACAGCAGGAGTAACTGGCCCAGCTTAGACTGACAGGCTCATGCTAGTGCACAGACATTGCAACTTGGGCAGCAGCTCAGTTTCCCAGGCCTCTAGGTTAGAGCTGAGGTGGCTAGCACAAGTTTCTGCCCCAGCTGCAGTAGCTACCCCATTATTTTTAATGTGTGAGCTTGATCGTCACTGCTGTGAGTGTGGCAGGATGGGCTGGACAGCTTGCTCTCCACTGCAGGGGGTCAGGCCCTTAGGACAGTATCCAACAGTCAGGGTTATAACATGACACTGACAACTCAGCATTCACTTCGCATACCTATTTGCACACTTAAATTATTGCAAACTCAAGAGTCCACCTCTAATCCGATGCCAGATCCAGTCAGTCCACTGCCTTGGGCCTGGAACACAACCAGTGACCCCTACAGGGAAATTAACCACATATCCCATTCCCCACTGGGCACCCACCTTGGGGCCATAAATAAATCAGCATCTTTTAGAGGGGAAAGGCCCATATCCTATTCTCCTCGGCCTAAAAGACAGTGCCCCATTAGAACTGGATTAGAACCATTGCCCATAAAAAGTATCAGAGGGGTAGCCATGTTAGTCTTAATCTGCAAAAGCGGTGAGGAGTCCTGTAGCACCTTATAGACTAACCAAAGTGTAGGAGCATAAGCTTTCATGGGCAAAGACCCACTTCGTCAGATGCACGTATCTGACGAAGTGGGTCTTTGCCCACGAAAGCTTATGCGCCAACACTTCAGTTAGTCTATAAGGTGCCACAGGACTCCTCGCTGCTTTTGCCCATGAAAAGAGATTAAAAGCCCCCAAATAGAATCTAAGGCAAGATCCTCCCCCTAATGAATAATCAATTGGGAATAAAACCTCCCCTGAAGAGATGAGTTATGAAAAGATCTGTGCGCTAACCTTGTGCTATTTTTCCCTTCACCCCTAAGAAGGGATCAGGCAAGGAAAGATTGCCCTGTCATATCAATTTCTATTTCTGGCATGCAGTTCGAGGAGCCTCAGTTCTTAGATCCTTATTCTGTGAGTGCATGAATGTGTGTAAGTATTGTGTGTTTGTGCATCCATGAGTGTGTATGTGCAGGCCTGAGTGGGTGAGGATGTATCAGTGTGTCTGCACACATTTGTAAGGAGCACGGGGGAGCTTCCCATGCCATTATTACTCAGAAGTTGGGGTTTTTTTGAACAGACAGTACTGTAAGCCTGTCCCCTTTGCATTTAGAAGGCAAGGCCAGGAGATCAGGGTCTTTCTTTCCTACTGGTCCCCTTTTTCGTATTCCCATTTTCCCAAGGTTACCAGGACTTTTCTCATCCAGAATGAAGTTCCTTGTAATAATGCAGTACTGCTGGGATGTCATTTTAAAGCATTGTGGCTACAGCTATGGGGAGTATATGTATCTATATACATATTTTAGAAATGTCTGACTGTCTATCTGTGAGTCTGTTTGTTCAGAACTCCTCCCAAACTACAAGAGCTAGGACCACCACATTTGGTATGCAGCTTCTTATCAGAACTTAAAGCAGTGGTTTTCAAATTTTTTTCCTCATGGCCCAGTTGAAGAAATTTGTTGATGCCCATGACCCAGCATAATTATATCCTTTGACTAGAGTGCAGGCTCCAGGGTGGGGCTGTGGGGATAAGGGTTTGGGGAGAGGGAGAGTGTGAAGGCTTTGCCTAGGGGTGTGGACTCTGGGGTAGGGCCAGAGATGTTGGGTTTGGGCAGAAGGGTTCAGTACGATTGGGGACTCTGGACAGAGGAATGGAGGTGGGGTACAGGCTCTGTCTAGGGGTGCAGGCTATGAGATGGGGCTGGAGATTATGTGTTTGGGGTACAGGAAAGGTTTCTAGTTGGAGGGGGAGGACGGGCTGAAACAGGGGATTGTTGGGGCACAGGCTTACCTCTGGTGCTCCCAGTCAGTGATGCAAGTGGGATGGTAAGGCAGACTTCCTGACTGTCCTGGCATAGTGGACCACACTCACTCGGAAAGTGGACAACAGCAGGTCCCTCTCCACAGGTTGCCCCTGCCCCAGGCTTTGGTTCCACTCTCCCATTGTCCCATTCCTAGTTTGCCTACAGGCATTGCTGAGGAAAAACACACAGAATTCATTTTGGGCTTGTTTTGAAATGGGATCAACTTCATTTTTTAGTTTATTTTGCTTTTTTATCTTGTGAGTTGGCTACTTGCCTCCACCTAGCAGCAGGTCTGGCTCCTGACTGCTTCCAGGGCACAGCCACAGAACGGTCCTCAGTGCCAGGATAGGCAGGAAGCTGGCCTTAGCACCCCCATAGGTCACTTAGTCACCCTACAGCAATGGCCTCCAACTTTTTAAACCACAAGATCACTTTTTCAATTTAAGTGCACTGTAAGATCAACCTCAAACCCAAATACCCTCCCCCCGCTTCCAATCCCACCCCTTCTCTGAGGCCTCCCCCTGCTCACTCCATCCTCTTTCGTTCCCTATCCCCACTCACTTTCACTAGGCTGGGGTAGAGGTGCAGGCTCTGGTCTCGAGCCCAAAGTGTGGGAGGGGTTCAGTGCTTAGCTGAGGGTGGGGGGATTGAGGTCCAGGAGGGGTTTCAGGAGTTTGGGTGCAGGGGGACTCACTTCAGGGGCAGGAGGTTGTAGGAGGAGGTTCAGGGAGGGGACAGTCAAAAACTAACACTAGCCCACTTTACAAGCAGTGAAAGTAGTAACAATACCCCCCCCCCCCCCCGTATGTGTTGGATTGGGAGATGAGAGGGAAGGACAGTGTGTCTGTGAGAATGACAGACACACACACAGCATGTGAGTGACAGAGATTTACACTGCCAAGTTCCCTCCATCCCCTTCTCTGTGTGGAGATAGGGTACAGAAGCGGGGGGAGGAGGGACATCAGTGTCCTCCTATTGTTCCTTTCATACTCTGCACAGCAAGCAGGAGGCTCCTAGGGGCAGCTCCAAGGCAGAGGGCAGGAACAGTATGACAGTGGGTGGAGGGGCAACTGAAGTGCCCTTGCTTTATAGCTTCCTGGCCAAACCAGTCAGGATCATCTGTTAGAGGCTCCAAGATCTACTGGTTGGTGACCACTACCCTACAGCAAAGCCACCCAGTGCCTGTCTTTCCACAACCCAGTACTGGGTTGCAACCCATATTTTGAAAATAACTGACTTAAAGCAACATAAGGGTTTGGTTGTGCCAGGAAAACAGGATTTGCCTGGAAGAGATTGCTTCTGATAAAACCATACAGAAA